TCAGAAGAGGGCATTGGGTCATCCAGAGCTGGAGTTGCAGGCAGTTGTGTCGCTTGAGGTGAGTGCTGGGAACCAAACTTAGTCCTTCTGTAAGACCAGTATGCACTCTTTTTTCTTTTTGTTTTCTTTTCTTTTTGGCCTTTTTGAGACAGAGTCTCCCTGTAGCCCCAGCTGACCTGGTCTTGAACTCACAGAGATATGCCTGCCTCTGCCTCCCAAGGGCTGGAACTAAAGGCGTGGGCCACCATGCCTGGCTGCAGTATGCACTCAACCACTAAGCCACCTCTCCAGCCCTTTGATTATTACATTTGTCTGTTTGTTTGTTTGTGTAAGCCAGAGGGCAACTTGTGGTAGTCAGTTCTCTATTTCCATCATATAGGTCCCAGGGATCCAATTCTGGTCTCTGACTTGGTGGCAGGCATCTTTACTGACTGAGCCATCCTGCCAGCCCATATTTGTCTTTCTCTGAGACAAGGTCTTGCTGTACAGCCCAGACTGGCCTCAACCTCACAATCCTCCTACCTTTGCCTCCAAATGCTGGGATTACAGGGAGTTACATTTTCTACTTGAAGTTTCAAAAGTGGTGTGTGTTAGTAGCCAAAAAATGAAACCAACCTGTGCCTATCAACTGATGAATGGATAAAGTAAAATACAATACACACACTCAATAAAAAGAATGAGATGCTGTTATTTTCTATAACATAGATGGAACTAGAGAACATTCTGTAAAAAGTTTTCAAGGTCATACACAAAGTCAGGTATGGTGACAGGCATGTCCTGTGATCCAAGTACTTGGGAAGTGGAGGAAAGAGAATCGAGAGTTCAAGGCCATTCTCAGCTATATATTGAGTTGGAGGCCAACTGAGGCTCCCTGTCTCAAAACAAAAATAGAGTCAGGTGACACCCACATTTACCAGCTCTCAGGAGGCAGAGACAGGAACAGAAAGATCTCTGTGAGTTAGAGGCCAGCCTAGTCTACATAGCCAGCTCCAGGCAAGCCTAGGCTACATAATGAGATCCCCTCCACCCCCTGTATCAAAAGAACAAAGAAGATGAAATAAAAAAACAAACCAAACAAACAAACAAAAAACGGAAATACAGATACCATATGAACTTATTCATACTGGGATTCGAAAGCAATTGATCTCAGAAAAGTTGACCATGGAGTAGTTACCAGAAGCTGGGGAAAACAGAGGCAGGAAGAGAGAAAGACAGATCAGCAGATACTGTGGTAAAGTTTGTAGAAATACACACTGGTATGCTATTGCACAGGAAAGTTGACTGTGGAAAAACCATAATATTATGTACTATATATTTAGAAAAAGCTAGAAAAAAAGGACTGATAAAAATTCTAACCACAAAGAAATGATAAATATTGGTGGTGCACACTTGTAATCCCAGCACTTGGGAGGCAGAAGCAGGCAGATCTCTGCGAGTTCCAGGCCAGTCTGGTCTACATAGTGAGTTCCAGGCCAGCCAGGGGTATACAATGTCTCAAATAAGAAAAAAATGTATTTGAGGAGATAGAAATGCTTACTCTGATATGAATATTTATATACATTTATGGAATATCACATGATGTCCCATAAATCTGTGTAATTTTTAGTTATCAATAAATCTGTTTTTTGTTGTTGCTTTGTTTTGAGTTTTTTGGGTTTGTTTTTTTTTTTTTTTTTTTGAGATAGGGCCTCCCTGCAGCCCCAGCTGGCCTTGAACTCACAGAGGTCTGCCTGCCTCTGCCTCCCAAGTGCTGGGATTAAAGGCATGCACCACCACACCTGGCTTAATAAATCTTTTTAATTTTATTTATTATTTTTCATTTTATGTGTATGTGTGTATTGTCTGCATGTAGGTAAATGCACCCATGTTGTGCAATGCCCGCGGAGGTCAGAAGAGGCTGTCGGATTCCCTGGAACTGGAGTTACAGACAGTTGTTAGCTGCCATGTGGGTGCTGGGATTCGAACCTGGGTCTTCTGCAAGACCAGCCACTGTTCTTAACTGAGCTATCTCTCCAACCCCATAAATCTGTTTTTTAATCCCAGCACTTGGGAGGCAGAGGCAGGTGGATCTCTGTGAGTTCAAGGCCAGCTTGGTCTACATAGTGAGTTCCAGCTGGGGCTACAGGGAGACCCTGTCTCAAAAAGACCAAAAAAAAAAAAAAAGTATCTCATTGCTTTTCAGCCTTTTGGCTAAGATCAAGTGTAGTATCTGTTCTTACCAGTTTAATATCTGATACATCTTCTATCCGAGGACAATATATTAGATGGATTTTTGGAACTAGGAGTTGGAATAGGAGCTTGCTCCGTCCACTCCACACATCAACTTGGTATTGTAGTACCTCCAGGAATGGTTAAAAAAAGTATCTCTTATTGTCTTATTTTTCTTTTTTACATTCCTGTTCATTTTTAATTTTTTTTGGTCTTTTTTTGAAACAGGGTCTCCTTGTAAGACCCAACTGACCTGGAACTCACTATGTAGACCAGGCTGGCCTTGAACTCACAGAGATCCACCTGCCTCTGCCTCCCAAGTGCTGGGACCACAGGCATGCACCACCATGCCTGGCTTCCTGTTTATTTATTTAGACAAGGTCTTCCTGTGTAGCCCAGGCTGACCCCAAACTGGAGGTCCTCCTGTCTCAGTCTCCTGAGTTGGGATTGCAGGTATGTGGCACCAGCTTTCTTTTTAAGGTCATTTTCATTGTTTTCATGGTTGAATTTCTTTGATTATTCTGTATGCTTCTCTATCCTTGACTCCCCAAATCAGTTATTGTTATATCTGTAGTCTTATTTACTCATTACATTTTCATTCACTCATTCTTTGATTCATCCAATGATCCAATGACCATTTTATGTGTGTGTGTGTGTGTGTGTGTGTGTGTGTGTGAGAGAGAGAGAGAGAGAGAGAGAGAGAGAGAGAGAGAGGAGAGAGAGAGGTTTTTCCAGTACTCAACCCAGGGCCTTGTGATGCTAGGTTAAGTACTCTTACCTAGCAGGGTCTCCCTGTAACCCCAGCTGTCCTGGAACCCACTATGTAGACCAGGCTGGCCTTGAACTCACAGAGATCTGCCTGCTTCTGCCTCCCAAGTGCTGGGATTAAAGGTGTGCATCACCACGCCCAGTTTTTCATTCTTGTATTTTACTTTTTGAGAGATAGGGTCTCATGCAAGCCAGACTGGCCTCCTGCTTCCACCTTCCAAGTACCAGGATTATAGGCCTGTACCACCATGCCTGGCTTCCAGTAGGCATCTTCAAAGGACTAATTTATGCAACTTAATGGCACCAGCAAGAATTTTAAAATTAGACACAGACTCTGCCTTAAAGAAGATCACAGTCAGGACTGGTGAGATGGCTCAATGATGGGTAAAGTCCATTTGTAGCCAGCAGATGCAAGCCTGCTGATCCGAAGAACCTATGTTTGATCCCAGAAATCTACATACAGGTAAAAGGAAAAGAACCAACTGCATAAAGTTGTCCTCTAACCTTCACAAGCATGCTGTAACACATGTCTCCTTCCCATAATAATAAAACAAAAAGTTAAAGACAAAAAGCATACTAATGGAACTGAGGCAATTAGAGGTGGTTAGAGCACTGGCTGCTCTTGCAGAGGACCCAGGTTTGATTCCCAGCACCATACATGGTAGCTAACAATCATCTGTAACTCCAGTTCCAGGGCATCAGGCATCCTCTTCTGGCCTCCATGGGCATTACACAACATGGTGCACTTACAGGCAGAAGACTCATACACATAAAATAAAAAAAATAAGAATTAAAAAAGCATGCTAGCCGGGCATGGTGGTGCATGCCTTTAATCCCAGCACTAGGGAGGCAGAGGCAGGCAGATCTCTGTGAGCTTAAGGCCAGCCTGGTCTACATAGTGAGTTTCAGGACAGCTGGGGCCACAGGGAAACCCTGTCTCAAAAAGACCAAAAAAAAAAAAAAAAAAAAAAAAAAAAAAAAAAAAAAGCATGCTAATGAGCTGGGTGTGATGGCTCTAGCCTGTGATCCCAGCACCTGGGAGGCAGGGGCAGGAACTGTTGTTAGCCACCATGTGAGTACTGGGAATCAAACCCAGGTCCTCTGCAAAAGCAGTCAATGTTCTTAACTGCTGAGCCATCTCTCCAGCCCGAAATTTGCTTTTTTAATTGTGTGTTTTAATTCTAAAACGTATCATTGCTGACGAATAAATGTACATTGTTTTTTTAAAAATAATTGTCTTTTTTGTTGTTGGGTTTTTGAGAGAGGATCTCAATAGCCCAGGTTGGCTTCAAACTCACCCTATAGCAGAGGCTGAACTGGAACTTCTGATCCTCCTGCCTCCACCTTCTAAAGTGCTAGGATTATAGCCCTGCACCACGATGCCAGGCTCACAGTTCTTAAGCAAGTAAAAATACAGAGCACAGTTAAATCCAAATCTCAGATGAAGGAAGAACAGTGTAAGTATTGCCCATGTAATAAAGGGCATCGTGCAGGAAAAGGCTACAGTGGAGTTACAGATGCTATAAAAGGACTTTTTAAAGTGCTTGGACTTTTCCCTGGAGAGTATCTAAGTTCTGATTAGACTTATCTAGGAGAAATTGCATGCCAGTGATCCTTGCATTTGAGGTGACACAGAAATTGACAAGGCTTCCGATTGGAGGGTAGAAATTCAGCCGGCCCTACCACTTTAGGCCACTAGATGCCGCAAGCGACACAGTTAAGGAAACCACAGGCAAGCAGGCACCCAGGGCCGCTCTATCCCTTTCAAGTCCGCCTCATCGCTCCTTCCACCAGGGTGCTAGAGGCCGAGCTGGCGGCCAGATGAAGTCTCGTCTTAGGAACGCAAAGTCTCGCGATAGTCCCGCGTTCTGTTTTTTTAAATTTCTTAATGCCTGGTGACTGACCACAGGCGGCTTGTTGCACGTAGGGTCCCTGAAGTGGCCTGGCCTGAGAGTGAGACCCCAGTCCTAGGCTGGGGTTCTTTCCAGATAGAGGAAACGGATTCAGAGGAGCTACAGGTTTTCCGGGCTCTCCTGAGAGGACTTCTCTCGTCCCTTCGTCCCTCCGCTTTCCCGTTCCCATGACAGCTGTCCTTCCTTCTTCCCTCCAACTATCCCGGCTCCCCCACTCCCCAGGAAACTTGTGGGATCCGATCTGTAACGGGTGGAGGTGGAGATGATGCTTTGGGATTTGTTGAACTGGGCCAGCAGACTGGAATTTGCAATTGCTAAATAAGGTTTGAAACGAAGGGTTAGCTGCTTGACCTGGGGTCAGGAAGCCTTCCTTAAGGAAAGCTTGCGTGGGGGTGAAGATTTTCTGTAAATCTGGATGCGTCTCTGGGAGGAGTACTTAATGTGTGCCTCATGATGGGAGCTATGTAATTATATCTCCTTTTGTTTAGACTAGAATTGTCGAGAACCAGGCATATGATGAACGTCTAGAGATAAACGACTCTGAAGAGGTTGCAAGTATTAGTTCTCCAGCCCCAAGACATCCAGGTAAGAGGACAATGAGGACAAAAGAAGGGAGATGCTTCCCAAGGCAACAGGGCAGGATGGATTCATGTTCTTGTTCAGTGGGCTCCTAGACCTTAACAGCAAGCAGTGACTTTGAGAGTCAAGTTCTTACCATTGATTTTGTTTCCTAACTAGTTAAGGAGGGAACAGTTTAGCTGATTGATTACAGGATCTTCTTTCAGCTGGAACTCACCCCTCTCACCTTTTACTTCGTGTTGCTGCTCTGTATATATTCTGCCACAGGTTCACTCTGTTTTTGTGGTTTTGTTTTTTGAGAAAAGGTCTCACTTTTAGCCCTGGCTGGCCTTGAACTGGCTATGTAGACCAGGCTGGCTTTGAACTCAGAGATCTGCCTGCCTCTCAGCCTCTTGAGTGCTGGGATTAAAGGCTGTGCTACCACACCCGGCTGTGTTTCTGTTTTTAATTTATCAGGATGCTTCATAACCTATCCTTGATGTGCTACCCCAACCATAATCTCAGCCAGGTATGATTAGAAGAAGTAGGTGGCTTGCATGTGCTAGATCAGCATATTTATTTATTCAACTAGTATTTTTGAATGCTAAGTGTCATGCCAGCACTGGGTAATACAATAGTAAGCAAAAGACATGTCCCTGCAACCCTGATTCTTGTAATCATGGAAGATGACCAGTGAATAAACAGGCTTAATTACAGGTGCCAGGTGTGCATTGTTGGAAGCAAATTGTTTGCTGCTATGGAAAATAGTGGTGAGGAAGGGGATTTATTTGTGACCAGGGAAGACTCAGGAAAAAAGACCAGTATATGGGAGAGAGGAATGTGTTATGGTCAGATCCGAGAGGGAGGCTGGAGACAAAACAAGCAGAGTTTTGGAGGCTTGTGTTGCTGTTATGTGCAGAATGCATTGAAAAGTTAATAGCACTTACTGTTCTTCAAGAGGATCTGAGTTTGGTTTCCAGCACCCACAAAATGGCTAAAACTCATTCTTAACTCCAGTTCCAGTGGATCCGATGCCCTCTTTTGACTTGTGTGAGCACTGCATGCATGTGGTGCACTTGCTTACATGCAAACAAAACATTCATACACATAAAATTATTTTTTTTAAAAGGAGTAGTACATGGGTTGGAGAGATGGCTCAGTGGTTAAGAACACTGGTTGTTCTTGCAGAAGACCTGGGTTCGAATCCCAGCACCCACACGGCAGCTAACAATTGTCCGTAACTCCAGTCCCAGGGGATCCAACAGCCTCTTCTGACCTCTGGGCATTGCACGACACGGGTGCACTGACCTACATGCAGGCAACACACGCATACACATAAAATGAAAAAAATAAAAATAAATGAGAAGTACAAACTGGTCTGGTGATGCACGCCTTTAGTCCCAGCACTTGGGAGGCAGAGGCAGGGGGGTCTCTGTGAGTTCAAGGCCAGCCCGGGCTACATAGCGAGTTCCAGGACAGCTTTGGGTACAGGGGAAACCTGTCTCAAAAAAACCAAAAAAAAAAAAAAAAATAGAAGTACGAAGGTGAAAGTGGTGAATGGAAGTACTGAGGCAGTGGCTGAGTTAAAATGATAGTGGTTTGGACTGGTGAGGAAGTTGAAAATAGAGACAAGATACAAATATAAAATAAATTGTTATAGAACCATTAAGATTGGTCTATGCTAGATTTGAGTCCTGAGTTAGGAATCAAAGATGATACTCGGAGATTTTTGTTTATTGTGGTAAAATATACATAGTATAGAATCTGCTGTTTAAAATGTATAATTAAATGGCATTAAGTACATTCATGGTGTGGGATAATGGTCACCATTACTTCCAGAATTGCCTCATCATTTCAGCAGAGTGCCTGTTAAACAATATCTCTGGATTCCCACTTAATTCCAGTCCCTGGTAATACTTTGCCTCTGTGAATTTGCCCATTAGGGGCACTTTGTACATGAACTCATACCATATTGTCCATTTGTGGCTGGCTTATGTCATGTAAGCATGGTTCAAGGTTCATCCATGCTACAGTATGTAGCACAGTTTTATTCTATTTTATGGAGATTTTCTTTTTTTGGTGTTTTTTTTAAACTTTATTATTTTTATTTTATGTGTATGAGTGTATTGTCTGCATGGAGGTAAGTGCACTACCCATGGAGATCAGAAGAGGCTGTCAGATCCCCTGGGCCTGGAGTTACGGACAGTTGTTAGTTGCCATGTGGGTGCTGGGATTTGAACCTGGGTCTTCTGCAAGAACAGTCAGTGTTCTTAACCGCTGAGCCATCTCTGCAGCCCGCATTTTCTTATTTTGTATTGAGACAGGCTGGCCCGTCTCAAAACAATGCCTATGGAGGCTGGAAGAGGCCATTGGATGCCCTGGAACTGGAGTTATTGATAGTTAGCTGCCATGGGGGGCTGGGAACCAAGTTTGAGTCCTTTGCAAGAGCAGCCAGTGCTCTTAACCACTGACCCATCTCTCCAGCCCCAAACCCAGCACTCTTCACTTTACTAATTACACATCTCATTTCACCCATGGGACATTTCAACTTTCTCTTTATATAATTGTAGGTAATTGATAAGTTTAATATCTAGCCCAAGGCCTTCAGCATGAAATACTTGTAACTATATCTCAAGGATAGAGCCATGACTAGAATTTAGTCTATCTTCCCTTCATGTTCTTTTTAAATTTTATTTATCATTATTATTGTGTATGTGGTGTGTGTGTGTGTGATGTTTGTGAGTGTGGGCACAAGTGGAGGTCAGAGGACAGCTTTTAGGAATCACTTCTCTCCTTCCACTTGGGGTCAGGGATTGAACTCAGGTGGTCAGGCTTCCATGGCAAGCACTTTTATCCACTGAACCATCTTGTTGGCCCCTCCTTCATGTCTTTTGTTTTATTTATTATTTTTTTTAACTTTAAAAAAAAATTTTAGGGGCCTGGAGAGATGGCTCAGCAGCTAAGAACACTGGTTGTTCTTCCAGAAGACCTGGGTTCAATCCCAGCACCCACATGGCAGCTAACAACTATCCTTAACTCCAGTCCTGGGGGATCTGACAGCCTCTTCTGTCCTCTGCGGGCACTGCACGACATGGGTGCACTTACCTACATGCAGGCGATACATGCATACACTGACCCAACACTGAAATTAGTGCTCACTTTTTGTGAGGAATTTAATGTAACGTGGGTCAGTGTTTCAGATTTACTGATCATAATATTATTTTTATTTTATGTGTATGAGTGATAGAAGAGGCTGCCGGATCCCCTGGGACTGGAGTTACAGACAGTTCTTAGCTGCCATGTGGGTGCTGGGATTCGAACCCGGGTCTTCTGCAAGAACAACCGGTGTTCTTAACCACTGAGCTGTCTCTCCAGCCCCTTTATTTTATATTTATGAGTGTATTGTCTGCATGTATGTAAGTGCACCTGTATCATCAGAGCCCCTGGAACTAGAGTTACAGAGGGTTGTTAGCTACCTTGTGGATGCTAGGATTTGAACCCAGGTCCTTTGCAAGAGTTTTAACTACTGAGCCATCTCTCCAGCCTCACCTCTTTCATGTTTTTGTAGACTTTGTTAAAATATTATAAAGACATTTGTCTTTGGAGTCATTTAAACAGTGACCTAACGGGAAGACTTTTTTTCAAGGTCTCCCTCGTTCTTCCAGCCTTCCTAACAAGACTATGGCTAACAACAGCAGCGATGAATACGAAGAGGAAAATAACAAGGTGAATACAAACCACAGCTTCTTTGAAATGTCTGCCCTGGGTGGTTCATTTGAGGTGGCACTGAGTCATCAGGAAGCATTTCCTGAACACCAGTGTTTGAGGACCTCGAGCTCAGGGAGGAAAATCAGGAGTACAGTCTTGGTTGATTCTGACTTTTCTTCAGGAGTGAAGCTGCTATTTTTCTTTCCAGTGCTGGGGATCAAACCCAGACCCTCATGCTGATCATTGAGCCCATCCCTGACCTAACATTGAAATTAGTGCTCACTTTTTGCGAGGAATTTAATCTAATGTGGGTTGGTGTTTCAGATTTACTGATCATAAGAATCAATTAGGATCTAGACACATGTACATAAAAGCAACACCAAATAGACCCAGTAGATTATGTGTACATACATATATATATATATAAAATAATAATAAAAAGGGGCAGAAATTATGTAAATGCAGTACTCATGTATGAAGTTCTTAAGAAAAATTGAATTAAAAAAAAAAACTAGGCCAGTGTGGTGGCGCACAACTTTAATCCCAGCACTCAGGAGGCAGAGATAGGTGGATCCCTGTGAGTTCAAGGCCAGCCTGGTCTATATAGTGAGTTCCAGGACAGCTGGGGCTACAGGGAGACCCTGTCTCAAAAAGACCAAAAAAAAAAAACCCCAAAAACTAGGGTGCTTGTTTTTAAAAATACAGATTCTGGGACTAGAGAGATGGTTCAGCAGTTATGAACACATTCCGCTCTGGCAGAGAGCCCAAGTTTGGTTCCCAGTACCCATGTTGGGGTGGTTCACAACTGCCTGTAACTCCAGCCCCTCAGGATACTGAGCTAAAATGTATAGTCATTGTCTTTAACTTGTAGGGGAAGGGGAGGAGACTGGATAATCCCCATGAAGGAGATACCACTGAACAAAACTGGGAACCCCATAGTCACCAGAGCTCCTTTCTTCTATTGATATTTTCCAGCAACTTAATCTGGGAATTCTTGCAAATTAGAAGCTAGATTGCCCTATGATCTTTATGAGTACTAAGAGCCTCTAAAGTTTGTCTTCCCCACTTCATCTTCCCTTTCTCCCAAAAGAGTTATTTCATGTTGTTACTTTTTCCTGAATTTTAGGGGTGAGGCTGTCTGGATAAAGTTTCTGCTGTGCTTTTAGGATCTTTTAAGCAATTGGTTCTCATGCCCCTGGGCGGAGTGCCACCTTTCTTTCTGGTGTCTGGATGGCAGCAGTCTATGGCCTGTATTGGTGGTTACAGACCTGGGTATATGCACATTCTATTTTTCTTTATATAAACCTTTCTCTTCTCCTGCCCAGGAGAAGAAGAAGACCTCACAGCTGACACCTCAGCGGGGCTTCAGTGAAAATGATGATGATGAGGATGATGACTCATCTGAAACTGATTCTGATGAAGATGATGATGATGAAGAACATGGAGCACCTCTGGAGGGGTAGGAAGAAAGCATCCTTCATGTTGACAGCTGGGAGGACTTAGCTAGAAGAGAAATTGCAGCATCTCTTTTAATGTCCTCTCTTCAGGATTTTCACACACTCAGAAATCCAGAAATATGAGTTTTCATTCCTTTCTGGCCTCATTACCTCATCCAGTCCTATGATATTACTTAAACTACCTGAGACATTTGTGATTACAGTAGATCAACCTAATAGATGGACCCTGCCTTCAAGGAGCTCTTTTTTGGGAAAGAGGAAGTACATTTGTGTATATCAAATGCATTTCTCTTTAGTGAGGCAAACTGGATAGGTACATAACATTTCAATTTTAGGCTGAGATGCTTTCTGCACAGGAGAGATCTTGTTTGAGGGACCTCATGTTAAGGCAAAGTGTTCTTGGATGATGCTGAAGTAAAAAGATCTCACTCTGTTCCAACCCTGTTGTTATAATGAGCCATGACCCACTCCTATAGGTAATAATCAGCATGTATTCTAAAGACCCACTTAGGTTGGGGATATAGCTCGATGGCACAGTATTTGCCTAGATATGTTCAAGCTCTAGAACTGTAAAACAAATAAAATACTAGCCAGATTTAGGGACACACACACCTGTAGTTCCAGCTACTTGGGAGACCCTGGCAGGAGGATCTCTTGAGTCTATGAGTTCAAGGTGGGCCTGGACAACATAGCAAGACCTTCAACTTAAATAAATGTTACAAAAACTAAAAATTTAATTTAAAATAAGTACAGTAAAACTATTGTTAGAAGAAATGATGGAGTACCAATCAGTAGGATTCTATCTGGTTGTTAAAGTATGTGGCAGCTGTCTGTGCACTAGTTAAGGCCTGTCTCTAAACCAGGGGAGGTTGCTGGGTTGCCTGTAATCCCAGCATTGAGAGGGTAGAAGCAGGAGGATCCATGTAAGTTTGAGGCCAGCGTGATCTACGTAGTGAGTTCCAGGCCAGCCAGGGCTACATAGTGATATCCTGTCTTAAAAAAAGACAACAGGGGCTAGAGAGATGGCTCAGCGGTTAAGAACACTGCTCTTGCAGAGGACCTGGGTTCGATTCCCAGCACCCACATGGCAGCTACGAACTGTCCTTAACTCCAGTTCCAGGGGAATCCAAAGCTGTGGCATTGCACGACATGGGTATACTCATTTACATGCAGGCAATACATTCATACACATAAAATAAAAATAATAAAATATTTTTTAAAAAAGACAACAAAAAGAATAGTCTTGGAGTTGCTTACAAAGTTTTTGGCATGTAGCACTTAGCTGGGTTCTAACTCAAAAAGCATGACTTTTCATTTTCCTTCTTCTCTCAAATACCAACCCAAAGCCCGAGCATGCTTTCCCTGATACTCTGGGCTTTCTCACTCTCTGACGATGCTCCCACCTCTCTGCAGCTGCTTATACACCTCCATTGCTGAACATGCCGGCTTTTTGGACTCAACTCCAAAGGCATGACTTTTCTCTCTTCTTCCTCATCTCTGTCCTGGCAGCTGCCATATTTACAGCTTGCCTGACCTGTTTGTTTTTCTCTTAAACTCTGATAAAGTGACCCTCAAGCTTTAAGAAAAGAGAAAAAAAGGGCCAGGCACGGTGGTGTACATCTTTAATCCCAGCATTTTAGAGGCAGAGTCAGGTGGATCTCTTTGAGTTCAAGGCCAGCCAGTGCTAAATAGTAAGACCCTGTCTAAATATATATAAATTACATTAAAAAAAATATATATGTTACTTTTCTGTTGCTGTGATAAAACACTGTACACCATGACCAAGGCAACTTATAGAAGGAAGAGTATTTGGCTTACGTTCCAGGGGGATTAGAGCCCATGATGGCAGGAGGTGAGGAGGCATGGCAGCAGGGTTGGCTAGAACAGGCACAGAAAGCAGAGAGAAACTGGAAATCCAGTAAGGCTTAACTCTCAAAGCCCACTCCAGTGCTGAGCTTCCTCTAGCATGGCCATACCCCCTAAAGGTTCTATGACCTCCCCAAACAGCACTCTAACTGGGGACCAAGTGTCCAAATACTTGGAGCTTATGAGAGAGATTCATTTAAACTACCACAAACAATCTCTAACAAAATTGTTGAATTTTATTTTTATTTAGTTTATTTACAGACAGGGTTGGGTCTCACTATGTAGCCCTGTAACTCCAGGTCCAGGGGAATCTGATGTTCTCTTCTGCCCTCCACAGGTACCTGCACACATATGCATATACTCACACAGAGACACACATATACATAATTAAAAATAAAATCACACAGGACAACTTTAAAAGCCCCACAGTCTTCAAAAATTCTATCACATGGCTGGGTTGGTGGCACATGCCTTTAATCTCAGCACTCAGGAGGCAGAGGCAGGTGGATCTCTGTGAGTTCAAGGCCAGCGTGGTCTGCATGATGAGTTCCAGATCAGCTGGGGCTACAGGGAGACCGCATCTCAAAAAGACCAAAAAAAAAAAAATTCCATCACATAAAAATTCAATGTCTGGCTGAGTGTGGTGGTGCATGCCTTTAATCCCAGCACTCAGAAGGCAAAGACAGACAGATCTCTAAGTTTAAGGTCAGCCTAATCAATATAGTGAGTTTTAGGCCAGCCAGGACTACATAGTAAGACTCTTGTCTTTTTTTTTTTTTATTTTATTTTATTTTATGTATGAGTGTATTGCCTGCATGTATGTGAGTGCACCTGTGTTATGCAGTGTCTGAGGAGGTCAGAAAAAGGCATTGGATTTCCTGTATCTGGA